TGCAGCAATTTGTAACTCACTCATTTGGTTCTCTTTTCTTGGCTACATTGATCAGGTGTCAATTACCTATCGAGCAAAAAGTGCCAGCGAAATCCTGGGTGATGCGAGTCTTGTTGCTTACTATTCTTTCGATTGTGGATCTACACTAGATTCAGGTCCTAACTTATTGCATGGCAATGCTATTGGACAAACGACGGTTACTGGACAGGTCAACGATGCTCTTCTGTTCAATTCAACGAGTGCCTACTTCCAAGCGTCCAGTTTTCTGGCTTTTGGCGTTGTGAATCAATCATTTTCGATTTCTCTCTGGATGAAACCATTAAATATCAGTGGTACCATAGTCCATCTATCAAACGAGTCAACAGGCGACGGATGGTGTGTGCCACTGCTTGGTTTCAGTGCATCAGGCACTCTCGTCGCTCAATCGCGTTCTTCGGATACCGCTACCCCTGCGCCTGGAGTGAATGTCTGGACGCATATTGTCCAAACATTTAGTGTAACAAATGGCCTTCGACTCTATATCAACGAAACACTGCGTAGTTCAGGCTCGGCCACAGCAGATTCTGCTCCTAACCAAATAATGTACGTCACTATCGCAAGCCAACGAGCGGGAGCGAATAGCTGTGTCTCTGAATCCATCGACCCTGGTCCGTATGCAGGTGCCATTGATGAGCTACGTATTTACAATCGCGAAATAACCGCAACTGAGATCTGTACGTTGTCTTCATAAACTGATTGCAAGTCCTCTTCAAAGACTTTATCGCTGTCCTCAATGCTTTACATATTATAAGGTGATATAACAACTTTATAAATTCTGTCTTTGGTACTATAACTACAAGATCATCCTGAGAATAAAAGAATAATTAAAACGGCTTTAATCTGTTCTTTTATTCTCAAAGTATTGCCCTTATCAATTTCAATGAAGATCATCCTGACCAAAGTAGATGACTTATCTAGTTTTTAGAGGCATTCTCGTGTGATCATTTTGAAGAAAACCCATACTTATTGTTTTCTTTAGAATCAGAAGTATTTGATCACTGGATACATTGTCTTCCCCCCTTTCTAACCATTTTATACCAGATCAACTACCACTTGAAAACTTAGTAATAGGGTATAACACCGAATTTTCTTTCCAACCACACAGAACTATGAATCAGACAAAGAACGGGAGCGGTTAAGAAGTCGAACTGGTCTCTTCCTAATATCCCACACCACCCACCAACCCAAACCCTTCAAATTTTCATACTGCCGCTTTAGATTCTCTTAGGTTCCGGTAGAGATCCTTTTAGGACCCCGTTCGGATCCCCATTTAGATGTTCTTAAGGTCTCCGTTTAGATCCCTTAACGATCCCCTATAGATCCGCTTAGCATTCCCTTTAGATTCATTTGACACATCTTTAAATCCTTTTAAAGCCCCTATGAATCCTCTAAACATCCTTTTAAATTCTCTTAAGATCCGGTTTGGATCCTCGAAGCATTTCTTTGAATTCTCTTAGGATTCTCGTTAGGTCCTCTGAGAATCCCGTTTGGATTCGCTTAGGGTCCCGTTGAGACCCTGACAGGGTTTCTAAAAGATCCCCTTAAGATCCGATTCAGATCCTCTAAGCACCCTTTAGGATCATAATAGCATCCTTTACTATCCTCTTCGCATCTTTAAGTACACTCTAAGCATTCTTTAACATGCTCGTGGCATCCTTTAGGATCCTGACAGCATCCATTTAGATCGTCTCAGAATCTCGTTCGGATACTCTTAGCATCCTTTACGATCATGTCAACATCCCTTAAGATTCTCTCAGGGTCCCGTTTAGACGCTTTCAGCGCTCGTTGGAATCCTGTTAGCATCTCTTCATATCCCCACACGATCTCGTTTAGGGAAATTTCGTTTTTTCGGCAGATCGCACATACTTGTATTCATCTCGTATGCATTCCAGGGCCCAACACCACAATACTACCCGAAACCGACCCAACATCTCACCCGCCAACTACTTCCGCTTTCACTACCAATTACAGCAGCATGGGCTCGATGTATAACGAGATGAGAAACTACACAAAAGCACTTGAATATTATGAAAAACATCTCGAACTCCATAAGAAAACTCTTCCACTAACTCATCCCGATTTGGCTACGAGTTATAACAACATCGGTTTGGTATATGACAACATGGGAGACTACTCGAAAGCCCTTGAATATTATGAAAAAACACTACAAATCAAACAAAAATATCTACCTCCAACTCATCCCGATTTGGCTCGCAGTTACAGCAACATCGGCTCGCTGTATAACAAGATGGCACAGTACTCGATAGCACTTGAATATTATGAAAAGGATCTTGAAATCTCCAACACATCTATCCCTCCAAGAGATCTCGATTTGGCTGCTAGTTACGACAACATCGGCTCAGTGTATTTCAACAGAGGAGAGTACCCAAAAGCGCTTCAAAAATTCAAACAATCAATGCAAATCAGAAACAGAACGCTCTATCCAACTCATCCCGATTTGGCTACGAGTTACAGAAACATGGGCTCGGTGTATGTCAAGATGGGAGAGTACTCGAAAGCACTTCAACACCACCAAAAATCATTCGAAATCACACAAAATCCTCCCCCGCCAACCGATTCCAAGTTGGCAACTACTCACAACAGAATCGGTTCCCTGTACATGAAGATGGATGACTACTCCAAAGCAATTGAATACTATCGGAAAAAGATCGAAAACTCTAGGAAATCACATGCTTCAAATTATTCCGATTTAGCTGCGAGTCAGCACAACATCAGTTCGTTGCATAGCGAGAGGGAAGACCACCGGAAAGTGATTGAATATTATAAGAACTATCTCGAAATCTCTAACAAATCCCTCCCCCCAAATCATCCCGATTTGGCCGTGAGTTACAATAACATCGGCTCGGTGTATGTCCAGATGGGAGAGTACTCGAAAGCACTTGAAAACAGCCAAAAATCACTCGAAATCTACAAACAATCTCTCCCTCCAACTCATCCCGACTTGGCTACGAGTTACAATAACATCGGTTTGGTGTATGACAACATGGGAGAGTACTCGAAAGCACTCGAAAACTACAAAAAAGCATTGGAAATCAAACGGCAATCTTTCCCGCCGAATCGTCCAAACATGGCAACGAGTTACAATAACATCGCTCAGGTATATCTCAAGATGGGAGAGTACTCGAAAGCACTTGAAAACAGCCAAAAATCACTCGAAATCGACAAACAATCTCTCCCTCCAACTCATCCCGACTTGGCTACGAGTTGCAATAACATCGGCTCGGTGTATGACAACTTGTGAGAGTACTCGAAAGCACTCGAAAACTACAATTTTTAATATATTTCTAGTTACCCGGCGCCATTTTTTTCTTTTGACAAAATTGAGAAATGAATTTGTGTATAGATCAGAGCTCAATATGGACTCAAATTTTTGAGTTGAATCCAGTCCATGGACTAAAAAAATCTAGTCCAGTTCGAATCCATGAAAAACAGTCTTTTAAGTCCAGTCCACTCCATGGACTCTAGAAAAGCCGTCCAGCCCAGTCCGAGTCCAATAGATTGAGTGAATAGTCAAAAGGACTTTGCAAACCAATAGAGAATTAGGTGCTTTTGCCGCGCTGAACCAAATTTGATGAAAATAAGGTGGTATATGCAGAATTTCCGGATGAATCCGACAGCGGGTTCCTTGTAATTCTATTTCGACTTCTTCTCTGATGTCAACACAATCTACGTGATTTTTGGTTGAGAGAACCAAAATTTAGGCAGAAATCACGTAAATTGTGTTGACATCAGAGAAGAAGTCGAAATAGAATTACAAGGAACCCGCTGTCGGATTCATCCCGAAATTCTGCATATACCACAGCGCGGCAAAAGCACCTAATTCTCTAATGCTTCTGCATGCTCTAATAAAAAATAATTATTAAAAATTATATAAAGGGTGGCCCAGAAGTCCTGTCCTATTCAGTATTTCCTCAATAGCTCGGTCAAGGTTGATCGACAAGTCACAGTCTTTTTTTAAATAGAAATCTCATTCAATTCTCTACACAAAACATATTGAACATTTCTTTATATACTATAAGAATAAAAAATATAAAGGAGATACGGGAAAGCTTCGATATCAATTACTTTCAAACCGAAAAAAACGGTTTTTCAATTTCAGTTCCTTATATTTTGTGATATGCAAAAAGAGAAAATGGCCGTTTTGCAGTTCTCGAAAAGCTCTATCAACTGGCTATATTTAAGACTCTTCATAGGCTCAAGCGATCGCAGGAGGATTTTTTTTCTTTTAGTGATTTTGCCCAAAATCATTATTTTCTAACCGCAGTTTTGAGGCACTTAGGAAAATTTGTGTGATTTGGTTCAAATCACATATTATGACTTTAGATCTGGTTTGTCTTAAAGCAAAATGATTCTTCTATGACATCCGAACAGAGAAAGTCGAATAGCTCCGTTTCGTTTCCTGTGCTAAGGCAAAGAAATCAAATTTTCCCTTTTTTTTAACTTTAGCAAAATGTTTGTTCGTGGCAGGAAAAAAGGTTTGCAGCGAACTTATGATACAAGAAAAAGAAAGGTGGTATTCCGAAGCACCAGAAAATGCATTTCGCTTTCACTTTGATGCATAGCACCGTGTTCAAAATAATACTTTTTGGTTGCGCTTTAGCTTTGAAACTAAATCGATATTGAAACTTTCCTGTATTTCCTTTACAAGATAATAACAACGTTTAAGGCGTTTGATAATGTAAAGTTAAAGTGAATATGACTGAGGAAATAAACAGAGAGAAGAAAATACATTTTTTTCAATTAAAACAGAGGAGAAGACACTTTTTGATAAGAGACAAAGAGCAAAACAAACATTCTTTGTAACACACAGAAAAATACATTTTGTAAAATCTGAAACATAAAACAGGCTATGTCGTACAAAAGATCAAAACATGCCTTAAGATGATTGTTAGAATACAAAATAATGGAATTTCTAACAAAAAGCTGATCCAGCACGATAGTTAATTGGATAGTAATGAAATCAATTCAATCAGAAATGCCTTTTCATAATATCTTAATGCTTTATCGTATTCTTTCTTTTCAACATAAACTCTTGCAACCTTACAATATGTAGCTGCTAATGCTGGATCATTTGGTGGCAATGAAATCAATTGAATGTCAACTGTCTTTCCCAAATTTTCTAGTGTTTTATGGTAGTCTTCTTTATTAAAGTAAGCTCTTGCAACATTGCAATATGCAGGTACTAATGATGGATGATCTGATGGTAGTGAATTCAATCGAATTTCATGCGTCTTTTCATAATATTCCAATGCTTTATCATATTCACTTTTCTTATTATAAACTAATCCGATATTAATATATGTAACTGCTAATGCTCGATGATCTGATGGCAATGAAATCAATTGCATTCCAAGCATCTTTTCATAATATTCTAATGCTTTACTGCATTCGTCTTTCTTCCGGTAAACTGCCCCAATATTATTATATGCAGCTATTAACCTTGGATCATTTAGTGACAATGAATTCAATTGAATTTCAAGTGCTTTTCCGTAACATTCTAATGCTTTATCGTATTCGCCTGTCGTATCGTAGACTAGTCCAATATTATTGCATGTAATTGCGAATGACGGAAGATTTGATAGTAATAAATTCGATTCAGTCTGAAGTGCCTTTTGATTGTATTCTAATGCTTCAGCGTATTCCCCTCGATTATAGCAAACTAATCCAATATTACTATATGTACTTGCTAACGAGCGATGATTTGATTGTGGAGAATTTACCAGTGAGCTGGCTTTAAGTTTTGTTGTATAATATTGTGGAGCGTGCTCATATTTGCCCATATGTACCATGAAGTGCCCTATGAGTGTCTATCTCATAGATCTCGCCTAGTTTTCTTCTAAAGTGTTTTCTTAATTTTTTCAGCTGTTCGCCATCTTCTGTAGTCAGCGTCAAGACTACCTCTCACACTCGGTTGCTTAAGTCATGAATGGATTCAAGTCCAAATACACTTCCGATGGAGGAAAGGACTTCTTCTTCGTTGGACATGCTGATTTGTTTTATACTGCAGAATGGCTTTGTATCCGGACTATAGTTAGCATTTATTTCAAAATTACTGATTCAATGTCCGATTGATTTGGAATGAATATGAATGCTACATTTGAGTTGATACTGGTTGATAGAAAGCTATTGAATGATAAAAGTCCTCCAAGACTTTTCTTTATTTGTTCAAGTTCATCTACACTCATGCCCTGGCCGCGAAACACAGTCAGTTTTCTTTGTTCAGTATCGTTACTTTTTGTTGATAATGATTGAACAAACTCTGAGTGGCGTTGTTTTATTTGATTATGAAGATCAGTTAAGAGAAACGATAATTAAATAGAATACCAATGTCTTGAATTCGAAGTGCTTTATTGAATATTTGGTATAGAAGCAAGCTCATCTGTACCACCATATGGCTTTATTTGGAGTATCTCATGTCTTCATTCCCGGCAATATGCCGACGTGGTCTTGTGCGGGATCCATCCAGATCTCGCAGGATACCAGGTCTTGCACATAGATTCAACTACAACCAGCATACACATTTATATCTCGACTGCCCTCAGCATTCTTTCAAGTACTCATAGGTGGATTAACATAGATTATGATTCGTTTAACCTGAAACTCGTATTCTTCTTCTTCCAGCAGTAATAGAACATGACTTCATCCACGAAGCCGAAGCAGCCATCAACACCAAAGAAGTGTGATATTTGTCAGAAACATGCTGCATTCACCTCATGTGTAGGATGTGAACAGATGTTCTGTCGAAAAGACTTCAATGAACATCGACAACAACTCTCAACACAACTCGACATCATCATTCGAGAGCACGACTTTCTTAAACAAAGCATCGAACACACATGTGATACCACCACTTCAAAGCTGTTCTATGAGATTGAGAAATGGGAGATGGAGTGGATGAAGAAGGTGAAGATGGCTGCTGATTGTGCACGAGAAGAAGTGTGTAACATTGTTGCTGAGCCCAAGATACAGCTGAAACGAATCACAAATGAGATTCGACCGAGAATGGCAGAAGAGGACTTTGTGGAGTATGATCTTGATCGATGGATGGATGAAATAAAGCAGCTGAGTGTAGGTATCAAGGCCACGTCATCGACGATTGTCATCGAAAGTGGTGATGAGTGTGAGTGGAACAGAATGATCAAAGTGAGAAAGCTGGAACATCAGAATCATGTGTCCAAGTCACTGCAGAGAAGTGAGAATAGAGAGAGTGAAGTGAAACAACTCGACTTCAGTAAACTCAAAGACAAACCACAGAGACAGATCAAAGTGGATGGAAAAAATTATGCTATTGGAGCATCTGATACGAACTTGCTCTACGACAATGGAGATACACTGTGTTTGACTGATCGGGCTGGTTACAAGACAAACACAGTTCGGTGGAGTGGAAGCTCTGTCAGAGATATCTATTGGTCATCGTTTCTTGATAGATTTCTGATATTGACACAGAGAATTCTTTATTCGTTGAATGTCGAAACCAGTGAAGTGACACAGATCAAACAAGTGTCAGACAAGAACAAAGCAGACTTTTACAAATGCACATGTTCAAACCAGACGTTGTTGGTGAGTACTTGGGAAGAGGGATCAGTTGTTAAAGAGTGGGATATGAGTGGAGAATGGAAAATGACGACACGATGGCAACCTCCTTTGTCCTGTCAACAGAATGAATGGATTATGGATATTCGGTTTTCATGTGACGGCAGTCATTTGGGAGTAACGGTGGGGGTATCTGGTCAATATAATCAGTTTCACGTACGAGATCGATCAATGAACATCATCAACAACATCAAATTTCCTTGGTTAACATATGGGTATAGGCTTCTCTCTCTTCCAAATGGACAATGGCTGACACATGATTGCGACAATAAAGAACTTTATATCATTGACAGAGATGGTAAATTAAAACAAACTCTCACATACGATAGGACTGTATGGAGAACACTGTTGTTAAAACAACGATGTCTTGTTATTCGAACAGACGGTGATCAAGTGTGCTTTCATGATTTATGACATTGGTTGGGAAGCATCATAATACCATATAATAGCAGTCAAACATCGAATGTACTATAGAGAAATAAACTAATGCTCTCGATTGTTTCTTGAGTAACTTGGGAGTGGAAAGAGTTACGAGCTCGGTTTTTTGTTATCGCTGTTTTGTGGAGAAGACCTTTCTCGCTCTTCTCTCTCTTTTCTCTCTTCTCTGAACATGAGAATAAAGGTCTTCACATGACTGACAGAGATGGTAAACTACAACAAACTCTCACGTATGACAAGATTGCAGGTTTGTCATGCGTGAGAGTTTGTTCAAAAAGAGCATTATGTGAAGAGAGCAGCATTGTTAGGACAACGATGTCTTGTTATTCGATCAGGTGATAATGAACTACATTTTCATGATTTATGACGTTGTTTGAGTAGCACATAAATATCGATCAAGCGACCAGTGCAAACAAATACCGCTTTTGACTGTTTTCTGAATAACTTAGGAGCGGGAAAGTGACAGAGAGCTCAGGGTCTCACTGTTTTGTAGAAAAGGCCTTTCTCTACGTGTTGTTCTATAGATGCACTTTGAAGTTGGATATTTAAGCAATAAAGCAGGAACTATTGCGTACATGCGTTACCATCCTCTGTTTCAGAGGATTTTCGTATGTGAAACCGTGGAGTCTAGAACCAGATACGTTTGTAATTCCTGTCATTGAATCGAATCAATAATATTTAACGAGAGCTTATCTCTCTTAGGCTAAGATCAAAAAAAAGAAAAAGAAAATTTTTGAGAATTCTCATGAAATGTTGTAACGCAAAAATGTTTGTTACGACAGAAAATTCTGTATCCGTTGTAACGCAAACAATTCGCTGCTGCAGAATCGACGCCATTTTGATAAGGCGTAATCTTCAATTTACCTCAATTTTTTTCTTTTCCGCCCAAAACAGTATTTCGAGATCCCCTAGCCGAGGAAGTATCGAAAAACTAAAATAGATAGTGATTCAGATGTAGAATTTTATCCTGAATCCGAATATAAAATTAGAAAAATTACAAAAGCTCAAGCGTTTTTGAAAATTGGCCATTATTGATTAAAATCGTGTTTTCTGACGGTACTTGCACTAGATGACCCAGATAGAAACCCAGGCACCTCGTCAGTTTTTTGCCCTATATGGAACTTTCCACGCTCTATCCGCTGGCACTAAAAAAGAACAGGAAACACTTGCAGAACAGGGCAGAAAACGCGATTTAAGTGATTTTCAGCAGATTTTCGCCACTACAACAACATTTCAGACAATAGCGAAGGTCACATTCGGAATGTGCGTGAAAAATAGAGCCGAATGACATATATCTCATGTGTTTTCCATTACTATCACTTTTCATCAAACAATTCGCTCTTGGAAAATGGAAAAATTCGTTTTTGTATGTTACATTTTTACCTGCTGGTTTGGCCTAAACTGTTAAAGTAAGTTATTTCAGAAAACTCAGTTTTTCCATTTTCTTGAGGGGTACCAAGGTGGAATCATGAATCTAAAATCTGTGTCCATTCTAGTTGACTCATGGAAAAGTTGCAGGAAAAGATATTTTTGAAAAAACTGTATCTTATAACTGAAGTACCAGCGAGGTACCCAAATCATCCAGTACGAATAGATCGTCCAATCATATTTCGCTCAAAACAGGCTATTAGGTTTCTGAATTTACTTCGGAAAACACACATTATCACAAGAATCAGCGTAGTTTATAACCTATGTTTTGATTCATTTACAAGATTACAACTCCTAAAGGAATATTGGTAAATCTAGTAGTTTATGATTCTTTTAGATTGTCCTTCAACCCTTACGTTATACATCATTTTGTTCAAAATTTTATGCTCCTTTCGGTTATATAATGAACAAATTTTTCAAGAAAACTCAAGAGTTTTCTAGAAAACATATGTGGGTTTTCCAGAGGGCCGATTTAATCGTGATAATGCAGATCGGGTCTATGATGTCCTCTATTCGATGACATAGTTATATTTCTCTTATCTCGAATCTTCAGTTCAAAAACTCGAGTTTCTGGAAAGCCGCATAGGTTAAGCTTGTTGGGTTCCGTTCTCGAGGTCATCTACGTACAACGAATCCAGGACAATTTTTCCTTATATATTCGGCCATGGACCATCTAAATCGGCTTTGAAAAGTCTGGTACTTGGAAAGGCCCTCTTTAAAACCCACATATGTTTTCTAGAAA